TGATATGACTTGAAAAATCTATTAGATTCGTTATATTTGCAAAATAAAAACATTTAATAAAATAAGAATAAATAAAAAAGATAATGGAAATGTATATTAGAGTTAAAATAACTAGAATAGTTAATAGAGCAGCATTAATTAAAAATATGAATATTGTTATAGGAAAATAGGAGTGATTTGTTATGTAATAAGAGAATAAGCGATATAATTAGAATAATTGAAATAATAGCTTTTATTGTCAAATAAAGTTAACAAAGTGTGCTTAGGAACTATTTGTGTGATAAGTTCTTTTGTGTTATATTTTCATTATGTTATATATATATACAGTATATATATTATTATCATTATTTTATATTATTTCTTTTTATTTTTTATTTTTTATTTTTTAGTTTCGTCCGTTATCATGTGCCCCAAATACGAAGATCGCCTCTTTCGCCTAGAAGAAGACAAGGGAAGCAATTAGAGCAACCACGAGCCACTCAGCTAATTAGTGCAAAGTGTGCCTATTTACAGTATCTGCAGTGTGACGACTTGTGCGCAAGCGACAGACTCACCGTTTCCCACCGTTACAATATAAGATCTTGATTTTGCAATAAAAATGTTTGCAAAGTTTCTAGAAGTTTAATAAAGTTCGTTATGAATTGTTTTCACATTGTGTGAAAAGTTTTGTTATTTTTGTTCATTTTAGGACCTCGGACCAAATTATTCCATGCCTCGAGCCTTAGAGACTGTGAAGTTTCTTAGAGAAGCACAATATTTCCAAAAATATTTTAATTTCACTTTGTAAAGTTTTATATGGTTGCTTCTCGACATTTATATATTAAAAATTTTAGGGTGTAGCATTGTGATATAATGTAAATGGTCTGCTTTATTATTTTTATTATTATCTGTAAGAAAATGCAAAGCCCTATTATGTGATCAAGTATTAATCCATCTAATATCATTGAACATGGCGACGTCTACTTTACAACTTGCGATTGCAGAAATTGATTAGAGATTTGATTGATCAAGTTCGTGACTTAGATACGTAAAGTTACGATACTTTGACTACGTGTTGCATGAGTCCATTCGAGATAGACCTTTTTATTAAAATGAGTTTAGTTATTTAACTCCTGTCTTTATATCATATTCCTTCAAGTGTCAGTATTATACCCCGTATATTCTTTATAGTATATTATCCCGTAACTAATGAAAGCACCAACTTAGAGTATCACAAATGAAACTGCATTCGATTATCAATAATTTAGAAACAACAGACTTTAAGCTCAATCATTTTCATTAAACTGCCAAGTCTTCGGTGGCTCCTTTTTGCTTTAAGAAGCGACTTGCGACGTTTGATTGTCTATTCTTTTTACATGCCACAAACGAATGATTCTATCATAACCACCTGTTAATAGAAAGTCGCCATCTTTTGTATTCTTCCAATCAAGACTATATAATGGATAGGCAGTTACCAGATGACGTAGACCTGCCGCACCGTATTATCCATAGTTATCCGATGCCATCCGATGAGAAGGACACACTTTTAACATCCTCAGTATGTCCTTCGAAAGTATGCATATGTTCTAACGTTTCAGCATTATAAAGATAAAAACTTTCTCCGCTAGTAATGGCAAGAAAATTTCCACTTGGAGAATAGCAGCAGCACCTACAATAATCCTTAAAGTTTAAAAACGGCAACTCTTCGAATTGCACGCCCGACACATTTGTGTTGCCAAAATCTGCATACTGCAACCACGATCTTTGAAAATTTATATTACTTAGATTTGCGCCTTTAAATTGAGTACAATGAAACAAGCCATAACTAAGTCTGCTCCTGCAATGTAAATATTATTTAGATTCTTGCCACTAAAGACCATTCCGGCTTTATTCAAAATTGGGATTGCATTTTCTGCGGCGATTTCTAAATCAATATTTTCTTTCGATTTCTCAATAGAATCAAAAAGACGCACTTTGAATTTATTAATCCGCTGTGCATGTTTTGAATTTCTTTCCCCTTGTACATATTCTGATAGAAAGCGAACAAGCCCCCGGATTACGTAGTATTAAATTTCCTTCAAATAGTATGGGATTTTTCTTCTTTGCAAATTGCCTCATAGATTGATCGAACAACAAAATATTCGACCATTACGACTTAAAGGAGAGTTGTAACGCAATAGATTTGTCTTCGGCTCCTTGTATCCAAAGAAGTTGGCACGCCAATCGGTATGAGTTTGCGTGTTATCTGTGTCTGAATATATTACTACTACCTCCTTCATCATCATCTAATTGAATGCGTCTTAAACGTATCTGGGATCGCTTGAACCATTTCTCTACAAAAATTTATTATATAAGGTTAAACGTGCTATACTTTTTGTTGAGTCCTCGCTTGTATTGCAATTTTCAAAATGAAATAAGCGATCTGAATTAGAAATGCTTTTTAAACCGTCTTCATAAATTTTCACTTTTCTTCTCTAGAAAAAGGTGCTATCCATAGTTCCTGAAGGAACTTGTGGTTATTATATGGGGTGAATTTTTGCTGGTAATTTGTGCTCAAATATTCTTGACGAAGTTTAATTTCATCGTACCCATCTAATATAAACACGAACTTGCAGTTTGTTACAAGTTTTCAATAATTTCTTCGGAAAATCCTATCTCTTGAATATTTTTGAAATATTTTTTCATTAGTATTGAAGCGAAATAAATAAAGGAATAAGTTTAATTCGAGCAAGGTGACGGTTAAAAGTAGACTTTCCCGCCCCAGCCTCACAAGGAGCAACAAGACCTTTTTTCTTGAAGCTAAGAAAGTGACAACCTCGACCTCTAAGTCAAATGAGTCTGGGTCCATTTTCCTTTTGGTGGCACATAAAAGTTCAATTTTCAATCTCACTTAAATATTTTTCTTTAATTTTGCCTAACTGTGCCAAGGGTTCTGTGACATTTGACTCTAGATTCTGTGATAATTTAAGGTTAAGCTGGGCTTTAATTAAAAATTCAGAATATTCGACAAACTTTCTAAAAGAGTGCATTCATTATATGTGGAACATGTATGGAAGAATTGTATGTATCTTCACTGATAGTCATCTTATTAATTATCGCTTTAACGTAATTTTTTAAATCTTCATTGTCTTGGTTCGCCAACTGTCGTAAGATTGCTAGTACCCATTCTTTAACGAGTTTTATTTTGATAAAGGTCACCCAAAAACCTAACTGCCCCTTGTTGTATTTTCAAATCCCGTTGTGTACAGGCAATCTGTCCTAAGCGCTGACACAGGCCTATTAAAAACCATTTGTTATTATAAGAACTCTGACGAACAAATTGCTCAAGCTGATTTTCTTGAAGGAGGATATCTATAAATCTCAGAGTTAAATACCACTGTCTTGTTTGTTCAAACTCCATTCCTTGACGGATATCATCTATTCCTTCTTTTAATTTTTGCCCCGTCTCTATTAATTCTTGAACGTTACTTACAACTTTACCAAAACCTTCAAATGGTTCGTTATAATCTTTAAAAGTATCTTCTAGTAATTTACTTGGGTCCAAGTTTTTAACAGCACCGACTAAAGTTGTAATTCCAGTGAAAGTTCGACGTATAACTTCCTGCCATAGGTTTTCGTTATTTGGAATGTGATAATGCCTGACAGACATAGTGGACATGATAATCTAACGCTGGATTATCCCTTAGCTCTTTAAGCTGTTGATATAATGGTGCATGCAGGTTCTCACGATTAATACCTTTAACACCTACACGCACCAAAGCATCTAACAATGGACAGATTGATTGTAGTAATTCGCAGAGTTGACCTCATTATCTTGCTTCTAAATGTTTGTGGAATATTCCTAATACGTTCTGTACCAACTTTCTGATAATTAAATTAGGCATATTTTGAATCACCTGAGTCAAGCAAAACAAATGTTTTGAACGTTGTAATGATGATTTTTTGATTCCTTCAATACTTTGCTCTAATAAATCTTTGTAGATTTCCTCATTCAGGATGGATGCTAATATGACAACTTGTAGACCATCTGTTTGGTTTGGGGGATTTTTTTTTTTGAGAAAATAGGTCAATAATCTCTTGAGCTAACTTTATTAGTTGTGGCGCTTGTTCCTGCGTATGGTTCATTAGGTTGTAGATAATAAGCCAAATCCAGAGTGTTGTGAACGTGGTCTATCTTCGAATGTGGCTCGGGTGTTACCAGCGATCTTGAGTAAAGAACTCTGACTTTAATAAAAAGGTCAGTTTCGTTGTTTCCTGCAAGAAGTTAACCCAACCTTTTCAAATTCTATCAATAATTCAATGCATTGAGGATCACATTTCAAAGCTTCTTTATAGCATGTGAATTATCAAACCTTTAGACAAGCATCTAATGCGTCCATTAGACGACCATCGGATTTTTGCTTTCTGACATTTGTTAAGTGGTTTTACCCTCCTTGTGTAATGCTTATCGAACATTTATTTAAATATTCCATTATTCCGAGAAAATGGTCTGCCTCAATAACTGTGCTAAATCCAAGAGATTTACGATGTTGAAAATCCATAGTTATTTATATCGCAGGAGGAAGCGTTGTGATGTCGGAAAAAAAATAGGATTCTGTTACATACGGGACTACATTCTCTTAATTAATTAATTTTTTTGTTTCACAAAAGAATGTTTGTTACATGGACAATCTATTTTTTAGGTGCTAATACAGAAGAGAATTTTGATGTCATTCAAAAGTAAAAAAAGAATAACCTATGTGATGACCGGCATGTAATACGAATAATTCGGTCACTTGGGGGGTTTCCTTTTTTCAACCATGTACAAGAAAGTAAAATTTAATATGCATTTTAAGAGATTATTTGTCTATCCTCGGATGGAACACATTGTGATTCCATGTCTGTCCGCACGCGCGTGTTATGATAAACCGTTACCAATATGAGACATTTTTTATTACATTATCAATTAAACCTTTTATTAGATATTAGATTTTAGCATTTAAATCATAGTATTTGGCATTTATTAAAGATATAGATAAATAATGCCAGTATGTCCAACGCCTACAATTAAACCTACTTATTCCACAATAAGATAGCGAAGTAGTATATTGCGAGCACTGTTGATATCCCGATCAAGCTCAGAGGGCAACGGAAGCTTAAGGCCCACCCAACTTTCAATGAACATGACCATAGTACCCACGTGTCTTACTTGTATATTCTTCGTGAACTTTATATAGAAAAAATTGGCGGAGTCGGAAACGGGACCATGTTAACGCCATTCATGCTGTCTTAGAACGAATATGCCATTTTTCACATCTAATCATTTATAGCTTGATTACCTGAATTGTATTCTGTTAGAAATATTTGCACACCTGGGTTTAGATTAGAGTAATCACTGTATTCTTTCTTGGATTGTTGAGAAATACAAAAATAAAAAATTTTAAGCCAATTCATGGCAATCTATATATTATAAAAGAACTTTTCTAAATATTTTATATTAGACATTAATCGTAAATCCATTATATTATTTTCTATCTAGTATTTGAGTTTATAAATATATTCTACTTTGTCTAATAAAATTATAATCTGTAGCAAAATGTAATTTATTATACTGTATTTAACTATAAATATTATTAATATTTATTTTAACATTAAACATTATAAATTTGCTTGTTTTTTTTAAAAAAAAAGATTATTTTGCAAGTTTAATTCAAATCAATATAATTGATTTAATAGTAAAATGATAAAGTAATCCAATTTATAAATAAACTAAAATACAATAAATTCAAATTTCATGGATAATTGTAAATTTTTTAATTTTTCTATATACGGTATATTTAATTAAAGAAAATCATTTTTTTATTAAATATTTTGATAATAGTTATTTTTTAAATTTGAATATTATCTGTGCTTCAACAATAATCTTTATTTACATTAAAGTTATAAAATAATCAAATTTATTTAAAAATAAGAATTATTAACAAAACTATATTTATTATTATATAAACTATCAAGTAAATTAATAATTATAAAAATGTAATTTATCTAGAAATATTTAGAATCGATAATATGATTTTTGTTATTTTGTTTATTTAATAAAAAATATATTATTATTATTATTTTATAAACTAGATGTTTAATTGATTTATTTTAATTTTTTATAAGTAAACAAGTATTTATTATATAAAATAAAGAACAATAATTGTACAAAATATATTTATGCATAAATTATTTTTTTATACTCAAATTTAAAATACAATGACTTTCGAAAAAATATTCTTCCTCATTAAAAAAAAAAATAAAAAAAAAAATAAAAAAAACAATAAAAAAAAGGGGGGTTTCTTTTCTTCACAATTGAATGAATGTGTTATAACAATAAAAGGTGTATTGCGTAATTGCTTTAAAGTATATATGAGATTTTATATAAAATCAATAGTAAAAAATACATATATATTTATTTAATAGTGAAATATATATATACAGTATATATATTTAATAGTACAATATACCGTGTGTTAATATTTAAATGTTTATGTACCATATTTGTCGAATTAGAATTATGTTCATGTACTGTATTTGTCGAATTAGAGTCGAATTAGAATAAATTATTAATTATTAATTAAATCATTTAATTTTTTAAAAAAAAACAATAAATAATCACCTGCCATTTCGCATTAATAATTACAAAAATAATAAAAAAGAAGAATGTGATTTTTTTTGTTTTTGGGTTAGATTAAAGATACAGTGATTTTTGTAAAATAAAGGGTCGGCGTATTAATCTAATCTAAGATCTTTTTTTTTTTAAAAAAAAAAAATATAAAATACAATATGTGCGTTGTGCACGTATGCAGTGTATACAATATTTGTAAAAAATGTTGTTTGGTTTTATTAATTGAATGTCTTTGGCAATAATAGATACCACCATGATATTGTTGATTACATCATTTCAGATGAAGAAAGGGGGGACCACTTCCCGTGCTGAGCTTTTTTCGCGAATGAGCATGAAACACAATTTATCCCGTGTCTATTGAAGTGTGATGGCGTATACGCAAAATTATATTAAAATCCACGTGAATAGGGATCGATCAAGGTAGACAGGTGATAACGGTAATATCGCCGTACACATAACACCCGAGTACAGGTGCTTTCAAGGTGACAAAATGATTTTTTTTTTTTTTTTTAATAATAAACCACGAGATTTATATTACAGCCCATTGCTAATGACACATTACTAAGCATATATGTAAATACATTTTATTGGAAAGGCGATTTAACCGAAAGCGTCGCGTGCCGTCGCGTACCGGACTTTCAAGTCCGCCGTTAGTCTGATGGTATGTGTATTACATAGATTGTGTAGATTGTGTTGGGTATTCCTTAAAAGAGGTTGCGCCAAGTTGCTTGCTTGCATGTAAATCAGATTTTTGCTTATGTTTCTATATTGGGTCGCGAGAAACGCGACTGGTTTCTATAAAGCGTATAAAAAAAAAAAAACAATAATTTAGATCATATTTTGTGCAATGCAATGCATATCACAGACCTCTCTATCTTTTCTTGATGTGTATACTTAGAAAGACGGCTCAACTCGGTGTGACCCATTCATCCTTTTTGATTTCATTGACCCCGTACACCAAATCAAAAAGACTGTTATTAAATGGCGCATACATCTTCATTGCCTTTTGAGAACTTTTGTGTGTCCCTCGCATATATTGCAATAAAAGTGATCATAACTCTCGTTAATAGAGAAATCGTAAATTAGACGTCCAATTCGGACATTTTTATATTACTAGTATGAACAACATGAAGATGGTTACACCATTCAAATAAGGTTAGTATTCGGATAAACCGGGGTTGTGTGAAACTCCGGAAGTTCATTTAGATGAATACGGAATTTTAAACAATGCATTGACTCAGATGTAACAATTTAAGCTTCCATTACTAGCACACGCATCATTCTATTTTTGATAATTTAAAGTGAACACATGAGTGGCATATCCTTTCTCTTAAATTTTTTGGATGCTATCAGCGATTAAATAATTTTTCTTGACATGACATTCTATCGTGAAAGTTGCACAAAGTTCTGTGATGAACAAAGCGGAGGTTACTGAAGCAACTGCCGGACCATTGACGACAACAGAAATGCACAATTTCCTTTCCTCAACGAGATATCAATCACGCATTAAGAAGATACAGCGCAAAATATGGAGATTATAAGGGAAGGGCAACAGACTTGGAAGAGTAGATAAATAATTAAATTATGACAGGATAAACACAAAAAAAAAAAAATGTTTTTCTTTTTTTTTTTTTTTGATGTTTTATAATATATCTTTCTATCAAAAAAATCAAAGCACGAAATCTTCGACCTTACCTGATATTCCGATACCCCGATAGACTCTTTAAAAAAGGTGAAGGTTATGGACACAATTTTTTTTTCCTGTCGCATTATTATTAATTCAGAGGCCCACCAAATCCTGCATGAAAACGCACCGGGAAGTTGACGCCTTTAAAGTGACCTTGAACATCATTTCTTCCGGGCAAAAGTCTGATTGAATGCAGTCTCCTGTCTAAAATGGTGTCACATGCGGGTCTATGCGAGTCCATTCAATTCTAATTTTCGGGACCTTCTGTATTGTCTCGTTCTCGTGATGATCGTGTGACGTTATCGCACACATCCCTATCACCCGCAAGCTATTCTAAAAAAAAAAGATCGACAGTTTTCAAAATAAAGATGGCAACCTTCAACGATAGTCTTTTGGGACCACCAACAAGATTGTCGCTTCTTGCAACTGACCTTCTTTTATTGCATCATTAAAGGGAAGTCGTTTTGAGCCTCAGGAGAATGTTTTTGGCTGCGGAACCGGTTAACATCCCTACAAACAGGAAGAAGCACCGCACCAATTCGGGTTTCTGATTTTCTCATTCAATGAAGAGAGCGTGTAGAACTTGGCATCATGATGAAGTAACTCGAAAATATTTCGGCTGATGGTTTCGCAAGATCAAAATAGGGTTGTCAAAACATGACAAAATCTATTCCATCATTTTCCTCAAGATCCTCAGGACAATGCGCATATCTTTCTTTTTCCATAAAAACAGTATACACACGTTGGCCGTGTATCACAAATTCAATGTATTCCAGAATAAGTAAGGTCAGTGATTGCTGGTATGTCACATCGCCGAATTTTTGTGCATATAGCATTCTAACCGCAAAAGTTAACATGTGTACGGAATAAAAATCTTTTCGTAAGATCAATCTCTTTCTTTCAATGACAAGGTGCATACTATGGGTGAAAGAGTTTCTAGATAATTGTGATTTCAACCAAAGTCATCGATCTTTCCTTTCTTCTTTCATTGCTTTCCTATGCGGAACTTTTGATGTGCTACAATTAAGATTTCCGGAATATCTATATTTACATTTTTGACGATCTGAACTCTTTTGAAGTATCCTTTTACGGTAATTCGATAAAAGCAATTTGAGAGCGTCGATGACAAAGATAATCAACTTAATGCGTTGTCAACAACACTTAGCAATTGTTCAAAGGTACATACATGGTGACTCATAACGAGCAAGAAAAAAAAAAGATGCCATCAAAATGGTATATTCGAAAAAAACATTTTCACATATATGTTTCACAAGAAATTTTCAAAGAATTGTACATACTGCATCTGTTCTTCTTTGTCATGTGACCTCAAAGCTGCTGTGCCGCAAAAAAATCGGGGTTCATTTGCATGAACTTTTATAACATTTATAACAATAATAATTATATCATCCGACATGCGGATTGAATAATTGTGAGTTTATTTGTAATTTGGAAATTTATGTATTTGTTTTTTTACAGTTCGATGTTTATAACAAAAAAAAAGAAAGAACAAGAAAAAATGAATAGATGATTACAACGAGCGATCGATAAAAACGGTTTATTCGAGTGAGGAATGATATTTTTCAAATAGGATTTCGCGAAGAAAAAAGAAATCGTTTTCTTATAACTTATTGGCGTTATGAAATGGAGTACGTTTGTCTATCATACAATATTATTTACACATGCTTTACGATTTAATCGGTAAGTACAAAAAGTTTTTTTTAAAATCTTATGAAGAATGGTAAAAACCGAAGTAGTCATCAAATAGCCCTGGAGTCGGTTCAGTCGTTACAAATTGCGAGAATTCATTCATCGTCGAATCATATGGTAAGTTGTCCGGTAATAATGGCGTTGGAAGTTGAGCGTTGGGTTGGCAATCTTCTGCTATCGAAAATTGCACGCTAGTTAAAAAATCGTCCATCAGTGGTTGTTCAACAACATATGGGAAATTCTCTATTGAGCCAAACGTTGGAAGCTGAGTACTGGTTGAGAGATGTGAAAATTGCGCGCCAAACGATAAATCCTCCTCAAAGGAAGGAGTGGGATATTGCGAGTAGTATACCATGTCGTCAGCCGTGTGAGGAGTTTCCACTTGCGGCACATGACTTTCGGCATGTCGTGGTTGTTTCCGCTTACGCTCTTGACGTTTCTTCACTTTTTTCGGGTCTTTGTTAGTAGATCTCGAAGGACTTTTATCGTCACAGGCGATTGCACCGTATTTTTCTTTGAATAAAATTCGGGCTTTTTCAGCCAAGTTGGTATAAGCTTCTATCTGTTCTTCCGGGAGTCGTTTCCAATGTTCCCCGACATATGTTGAAAGTATGGTTTGTGGATATCGCTTGCCTTGCCGATTCAGTTCCTTGACGTAGGCCTTTCGGAATATAAAAAATCGGTTAGGGGACTTTGATTTTTGTTTCGAGTTTTTGGGGGGTCCTACTAAATCATCCACGCTGATTTCAGGGGGAAATGGAACAGAGGCAAGAGGTTCGATTACGATATTACGCATGGCATTTTCTTTACGCATTTTTTTGATATGTTCGGTTTCTTGTTCTTGCCCAGGTGTTACTTCTATGAAGCTTATGTCTTCATAACGTCTTACAGGTGCCATCGTTGAGAAGGAAACTATTTCAAGAGAAAATGTAAAATAACGTGAAATAAAGTGGAGATAATGATGTATGTGCCAAAAGTATGCAAGAAACGCTTGGAGCATTATATTCGCTCCTGGATGTAATAATAAATAGGCGAAAAAAAAAAAATCAAGGTCGGTTTGTTTGTTCGGCCGGTCTTTTTACAAAAGGCTTTGATTTGGGGGGAGATAAATGCCGGAAAACCAGAGCTATTTATAAATATTCAAACACCATCACAAAAATCAATCGACTAAAGAAAACTTGATCGCAGCAAGTATTTTTAACGTAGGACAATTAAGCATGTACGCAAATATATACATACACAAAGAATACATTGGATCGTGGGATGTCACCTATGTGATCATATCACCATGTCACATGAGAACCATCTAAGCGCTTATTTATTATAATGGTTAATGTTACTAGCCAGCATACAATGGCGTAATAAACAAGAACCTACCTGGTACTGCACGGTGTCCAACACACAGAGATGTTTCTTGTTTCAGAATGTATTTCTTGGGTTTCTGGAAACGACCATTTTTCAATTAGAAGATCACACGGGAATTCTAGTCCGGACGAATTATCCTTCTGTGTAACTGCATGATGGATGATCACTCAAGTCTAGAGAGTCCAAAAAACAATTATAGTGGAATTATATTACGTGTAAATAAAGAAATTTACATGAATCCTTTGTGCTTTTGTTGGGGGAAAATCTTAAAATAGTCACAGATTCATTGGTATTGTTCTTTCTGAAGACTGTAAACCGGATGTGCGAATCCCTTTAGGTCTCCTGAAACAGTTCGGTGAGGAATTACAACGCGAAATAAAAAAAAAAAAAAGGATTTTCGATTCTCGAAAATTTCAGATTTCAAGGTTTCCGCCGGTCGTAGTCATAATCATTCCATAAGTTGAATTAGTTGAAGACATCGATTTAGGGAGTCGTGTCACTATTTTTCATATATACAGACAGTAGATGAAAATACACACAGTACAGTACGTGTGTGCACTATTGTTCTAGTTGGTAAATTGACCATGAAGTCAACATATTTACAATAAACTACTTTTCCACCACCATTAACCAACATATTTACAATAATCTATTTGACCACCGTCATTAAACAACATATTTTAAACAATCTATTTGACCACTACCAATTTCCTTCATTATGTAAGCAAGCACCTTTATTTCACGTGATTTATCAAAATATTTTCTTCAGTACAGTTTTTTGGGGGTCAACAGAATATATGGAATATATACAGCATCCACAATACTTTATTTTAAGACGCATTGAATTATAATATAATAATTTTTTTTTATACATTGGCTCTTTCGCCTTCAATATTTACTAACATGTGTTACAACGAATGCCACATTTCCTTAGACGACGTCGTTGTTCTAATGTTGAGAGAGAGAGGGAGAAGAGAATGATGCATCTCTACTTCCGCGAGGTGCGCCACGGAAATCGAATACAATCGCGATGTTGCAAAAGGTGCAATCGCAACTATTCTAGGAATTAACGATGTTGATAGAACGCACGGAATAAAGAGAGAACAAAAGTTCAACCTTTGTGACACGATTTCCTTTTACGATAACACCGAAAACAAAAAACCAATCGTTTCGTCGGGACGATCGTCAGGGTCAATTGGTCAATTAGCTAGAAGGGGTCACTGCGAATGAAACTTCGTGGAAGATGATGATGGTCTTTACCGAAATGAGTTGCCCTGGTAATTAATGATGACGACGCACCCCTAAAAAATTGACCACGTGACACTGGCGTACATTTATGTGTAGACACACGTGTACGTGTATAATAAGTAATTCCTATGTTTGGGACAATGTATTTCTTAATAAGGTAGAAGCATACAGATCTATGAAAACTTTGATCCATTTTGTATTCACCACACAAATAATAACCATGACGATAAACTCCCTCATTCCTCCAGAATAGTCGATGTCCATGGAGTTCAAGCATGCCTTACATACGGTACATCGTCGCTCACTATTCCTGCGGGGAGGGAGGAAGAGCGAGAGGGAGAGAGGAAGAGAGATAGGGAGGAAGGAAGAGAGAGGGGGAGGAAGAGAGAGGCAAGGCTCGCCGAAAATCATTGGATAATCTTCTGCGAGATAACCCTCGTTATCAGGGTCGCGTGGCGATAAATAATTAAAAATATTAAGTCACCCTTTTGTGTGGACCTCACACCTACGTGAGATGCAGAGTCACATTGTGGGAAATAATCTGTTTATGGTACTATTCATGTTCTGATTAATGCTTTCTTCTTATTGTAAGGTATGCACGTGTCTAATATACAATGCAAAACATTTGTTTTGTAACAGGTCCAATATTTCCGTTATCAGTTCTTTTGATTTTTTGAAAAAAAAAAAATCTTGTATTTTTTTGTTTTTTTAACTAAAACAATTCAAATGCCAAATGAAACAAACAAATGACTTATTCCCAATGTAAAATTTTCGCTTTTCCGTGTGTTCATTAAATGCAGCGAAAAACAGGATTCAATCAAGAAATCGTGATCTACACCTTGACATGTCATGAGTACTTGCATTATTCCTGTCGCACAAGAAACTCACGAGCCTGGAGAGATAGAACCAAACAAAATGCGTCTCGACTAGGAGAGAGCAACCAGCAGACCTTTGCGTGACTCCAAACATCAACTTGCGTATGCATTGCCTTTTCGGTTATCATCAGTGCTTTTCTGCTTTCGAGATCTCGTTGGACAAAGATGACAATGACCTTTACCCAATGCCAGAGGTCGAACTCGCATAGAACATTCATTCATTCCTTCCTTCAAAGACAACAGATTTTTTCCGCGACCAATAACACGACGTCCCTTCACATGAATCTATTGTTGCGCATGATGAAGTAAGTGCATTGGTTCTTTTCTTTTCGTTGAGTCTCGTCACCTGGGGGAACTTGCACCACCGTCGACACACAATCACACCTATAACCTTAATTACCAAACAAACAACCATCAATCAATTATTATCGAAAAATACGTGATCACGGAATGATCGACTCTGCTTTATCAGCCGCAACTCTAGCCAAGGATTCCCGTGACTACCGCACCGACTTTATTATGCACACTCCAGCCTGCATGCAATGGACAGCCTAGGTCAGTTGATGTCGGCGGTGCGAGACACTTAATGATCTTGTGAACATTTGATTCATGCATGATAGCTGAAAGTGGTTAATCACTTGGTGAAGGAAGAGAGTCTTGGGTGAAGGTGTCTTTTCTCACAATGTCTTGTGAACAATGGAAGAAGATTATTGTAATTACCCGTGACATTAACAATGCGTCGATCAACATTTAAATATAATCATTATGTGATCATCAGATGTAATTTATTAACCGATTATAGTCGAGACCAAGTAATGTGACCAAACAATGCGTGCGAAGGAGCCTTCTTTGAAATTGAAATTGTTTCTTAATTTTACGTTTCAAAGCGGGCACCATGGTCCCTTACGAAGGCTCTTTGTTAACATGAGAACGCAATGAATCGATCGACCTCGTATCTTTTCCATAATGCAACTTCTCGATTCATTGTGTCAAGAGACTTGTCTCATTGGTACATTGTCTTTTGTTTGTACTTGGTACGACGTCAACACGGAAGACTATTACCGAGAAGGTTTTGCAACGCATTCTTGTCAATTGTCATGACCCAAGATCCTATGATTGACATTGGCATTCAGGATTTATTTATTATTATTATTTTTTTACTTACATTATTTTTCACCTTCTTCAGAACCTCTCTTCCTTTCATCTTCCTTCATGTGAGTAGTACAGTATATGGAAGATGAGTGACCAAACGAAACAAAGATCTCAATATCTCCCCTTCCCCCACGAAAATGTAGAAGAAGATGAAACACTTTCTTTAGAATGTACGACGTAATTTGATTGTTGGCACACGTCAATCCATTTCTAGTTATTTATATTTCGTGACCTAATACAGTAGATAAAATTTCACCAATATGGAGGTAATTATGGGTATGCCAAAATCGGCGTCTACAGTGGAACCATCAAGATTTGTTTTTTCTTTAAGCAGATAATCCCTTAATTCCATCGACATTGGAACCTGCCAATTCGGATTTATTTGGAACGCAGGGCGTGCGTGTATCTCGTCCTCGCTAATCTGCTTACGTATCCAATTCGACATAATTAGAATTTTTATTTTTAGGATAAGGAATAATTTCTGGAAATAAATGTCCGAAAATACTATATTTGATAATCAAAATTTTAGTCCGCATATGGCAACATCTCCAGATGCCAAGATCTCAAATTTCTAGTGATCACTCTTTTGAACATCATTGCTGTAATGTAACTCTTGGAACGAATAGCATTATACATAATTCTATTTTTATTATTACTATTATTATTATTTTCAGAGAGAGAGTAAGTTGCTCTCACGCATCAGCCGAAAACTTTGCAATTATCATTCTCACAAAAACACCGCCAACCGTAAATAGATAAGCACACATTCTATTTTCTTCTTTTTTTTTTTTTTTATCGCGTAAAATTCATCGCCTTCCATAGGGAACTTCTAGAATACCTGTACCACTGCATGTCACTTGATAAGGTTTCCATATCAGGGACAGGAATAACTAATATTTTCTTTGCACGTCCGCATAAATACGTCTTCTTGGAACCTTCCACTGGAATCCCACGGCTAGCAGGAAAAAGGAATAGTTTGAAACATAAATTGGCCAATCCCCTGGAAATTTTTCTCTTATCACAATGATCTTCATCTGAGCCAGTTAATCAACCAACCAACCAACCAACCGCACGGAATAATAAACTACGAGATTTTGAAAAAAGGAAGATGATCAAGCAAGTGGCATGCGATTTTAATTGCCAAATATAACCGTAAGCAGTGACTTCTGTGTATGCGTGCGTGCGCGTACCTGAGTGAAACAAAAAAAAAAAATTCGGAGTTGTGATGGTTGTGAGCGGCTGGATAAAAAAATTGTGTAAGGGATTAAGAAAGTTCTCTTGGGGTCTCAATGAGATAAAACATTGTTCTTTGTCTAGTCAGTCTGTGGTGGGCGTCGATTTCTTGCCATATTCTTTTGTTGCGGAATTTCACTAGACGCGTAGGTGTTTGCTATCTTGATAAGGTCCTCTTTTAAGGGATGAACATAAAAAAAGAAAAAAAGGAAACTCATGTATCATGCGAATGTGGAAATCGATGAAACATCCGATCACACTTAACCTATATTCAAGACAACGTCATTCGACCATGACGTTCAAATGACGCTGACGCGTTTACTTTGGGTCCCCAATTCAAAGAATCAACTTAACGCGTCCCCCCATTCAATCTGTACATGTAATTGTGTGATGGTATGTATAAATTATGCAGATTGATAATGGAAATTCGCCAATAAGTTTTACCGATTACACAATTCCCTCTTCCGATTATGTAATTTGGATTGAGGAATACGCTTCGCATGCAATCTAAGGTCATTAGCCGACCAAATTTTCCACTTCACTCCAACATTCCAACCTTCGCGTCACGCGAGTTGATGTAGTGTACGGCAGAAAATGACGACAAAATTAGAAAATGACATCTTGGAAAAGAATCAATTTGATTCGTTCTGAATATCCCTACTTTTATTTGAATTGTCATTTTATCAAGATGAGATTCTACTGTAAATTTTCTTTCACACAATCCTTTAAATCATTCGATGGCTGCGGGTTTCACAAAAAAATCAATGGTCAATTCCGCCTTAATATATTGTTTTACAATACCGGTTTTTGATATATGCGCTAAATAAATAATCTTTTAATCTTTATGTTATATGGTATGGCTTTGAGTTTCATTGTTCATTCATGACGCAACTAGATTATCATGACTATCATAGGAACAATTATTAATATCCAAATTCGGTCAAATGTCACATTGATATCGGAAGTCCGACTGCGCTGCGCAGTCGGAATTCGTTCCCCCCTTGTTTGGAAATTATGAAAATTTTGGGGCATGGACGTAAAATTCCGTCAATTCTACTTTATTCATTCTAATTGAATTTTATTGTTCCGTCTATTAATGTTCAGAATAATCACACACAAGCAAGTTAATGTAAAATCTATTATCACAAATTCTTTTCTTTTTTTTTTTCTTATCACTGGGACGTATCATTAATACATCGGTGGGATTACCAAAGAATCACAGATTACCGATTTTTAAAATTTCTGTGGGAGATATGACTATGACACGGTTCATGTTTTTTCCATTACATCCTTCTTCGTTTATTCTCCCTAAAATCCTCCACATCAACCTTTTCCTTTTTACACATTCCAACATCCTCATTCTCTATTCCGTTCGGTCTTTCCCATTCCCTTTGCTGTTCCAACCTTTGTCTTTCACGTTCTTGACGTTTTTCCATTCTTTTGGACTTCATCTTGCACGAATGGCAACGACACTCGCCGTCACTTCCATCTGTCTCGGATTCTGTTTCGCTCACCTCCGTGTCTCCAATTTCAGAACTGCTACTGGAGCTATTCGTCGTACTACTACTACTACTACTGGAACTACTTTCTTGAAACGCTGGAACAGTCTCCAAACTTTTAATCCTAAATATCAAGTTCTTATAAAAGTCTTGGTCATGCCTAATACTTGTTCCTTCTGTATTATTAGCCAATTTTGTGAGCTTCCGAAGAAGCTTTTGCGAAAGTTTGGGACGTGCGTTTCTGGTGCGTAACCAAACGTATTCAATGGATGTTGGAGAACAGAAATTTTGTGTGACAGCTATAGTAAAGTCTATTTTGCAGGTATTTTTTTTTTTAAAAAAAGTTGAATGTATCATGTAAAGTCAAAGCAGTATGTTTTGATTGTGCATTTGTTTTTTGTTTTGAGAGAAGGGAGGGGAAAGGAATTTTTTCGTATGACGAGATTTAGCAATATCTTGAAATCCGAATAACAGGCAGATGGAAAAAACAGGAAAGAAAAAAAGAAATCCAAATATAAAAAAACTTTACCCAAATTCATAACAACATGGTGCCACCCACCGGGTACAAACATGGTCTCTCCCGGTCTCTGCAACACTTCTATCATGTCATATTCTTCGGCGACACTTTTCTCCTTTCCATCGACACTCCTGACCAGCTTAGGAAAAACGTGTGTAAACCATGTTACGGCCTCATGATCTTTTTGCTTCATCGGCGGGTCAATTTGTTTACGAGGAACGGACGGCGGAAATAAACACCACCGTTTGTGTCCAACTAACAATGTATTCCATGCGGAGGTTCCAAGTGGATCAACGTGAATCCTGCCCGAAGAGACAAACCTTTAGCACAAAACTCTTGGAGTTCTCATAGAACTGATACCTTGTTCTTACCCGGTGCCACTTCTTTCACCACCAATCATAAACCAACGATATGGAGGTCTACGTCTTTCGCCAGTGAACCGAAAGAGATCATCATCAAAATAAGGTGGAACTTTATAATCTTTTAACAAGCATTCTCGCTTTCGATTCTCGAAATCGGTTTTTCTGCCTTTCGATTTTCGCTTTCCGAATGACGAATCGAAGATATACAACGGACTATCTTCTTTTTGTCCTTCGTTATCCAAGTAGTGCATGTAATATTTGAAAGTCATGCGAACAGGATTCCCTTTATCATCTTCACCGATTTTAAATTTGTAACTTTTATAGTTTCGAATCAGATCCTATTAAGGTAGAACTCCACTGATTAATATAATTCCTTGAATTCACCTATGTAACCGTTAGAAGGTTCACCTCTTTATTCCACTTGGTTTCGGCGGCCCAACCCTCGGTACAACCGGTAATAACAACTGGAACACCCGGTGCCTCATATTTTTCGATAAATTCCTCCCGAGAAACTTGTGACACGGAAATTCTGGGAACCTTGTCAACAGATTGATCTATCCAATAGTTATTATTGATGAACCCACGGCTCGACCATTCGAATATGTCAAGTTCTATTTGTGAAAAACAGCCGATAGATGAATAAAATAGGTCAAATGTTACAAGGTGAAAACAATCACTAGTTATAATAAATTGTCAGTTCAACAATATAGTAGAGATTCTCCCTCACTAATTAATGTTAACTGTTGATTCAATGTAGAAATCCCTCCTCTCTTCACTAATTACAATACACTGTTGGATCGATGTGAAGTGTTAATTTAATGTCTCCAATTGTGGTGCTATTACGGGAAGTGTTTAGAAAAATAATGATATAAATTTATCAACTTTCATTAAACAATGAAATCTGCCATCTCACCAACTCAAATAGGTGACGCTAGCATCACTCGGAAACGTACGCTGACAATTGTTCGATATTATAGGGAAGATGTCCTATAAATGCAAAGACAAACTTGAACGAGCACTTAATTTTGTCTTGTTTAATTTCCGCTCATACTTATACTGTTTAATCTTGATGAGGTCGGCTACTTTTACTTCATTTTTGTCATAAGGTCTACTATTACTATTTTCAACACAACGATCTATTGACTCGGCAACGTGGCGAGTAGATGGTGGCATTTTTGAGTATCAAGGAGTGAGTGAATAACTTTCCTCGGCTATCGACGAAGTTCAATAACTCGAAATCAGGGGGTCAATATATATTATTCTGTACGGATATTATCACGGGATCGAGATTGGTTATACAAAAAAAATTTTTTTTTGATAAATTATTGTTTATCATTTACAGTAATTGATTATATAACAGATAAGTTAAATTTTTGTTCAAATGTAATGCTTAAATCTCTAATTTTTGCATTGTCTAAAAAGCTTCTTAACTAATATATTTTTAAACTTTACTATTAATCTTTTATCTTAATTATCTATTATATTAAATTTTTTTGTTAACTATATAAAATATTACTTTTATTATTTATAATTAATTTTTTTTTTTTTCAATTAATAAATATTAAACAATTTTTTTCTAATATTAAAATAAAATAAAAAAACAAAAAAAAAATAATCAATCAATATTTTCGAAATAATAAAATAAATTTAATAATATTTTACCAATTTTAAATTTATATTTTGTTAAATATAAATTATAATAATAATAATAATTTTTTAAATATGATTATTAAAAATAAAAAAATCATTTCTTTTTTAAAAATGATAATATACAAAAGTATTTTATTTTATTTTTTCAATATTAAATAAATATATTTAAAATATATTTATTAAATAAATAATAAAAAAAAACTTATGATTAAATTAAAATTAAATCTTTTTTTAATTTTAAAAAAACTTTTAATATTATAATCAAAATAATAGATCATATATTCAAAATAAAAATTTTATAAAATATTTGAAAATTAAATACAATTATTTCTTATTTTAAAGTAGATCTTACTTAAAAATATTAATAAACTCATTTTAAATTTTTTTGTTATTAATTAAAAAAATTATAATAATTTTATTATTAAATATATATTATATTATATTTTTTTTTTTTTTTTTTTTTTTTTTTTGCCTCTAATCAGACTGCAAAAGTTGCGTTTATTCATCCAATTTTGGAAAAC